AATCACTCGTTGATAATGCTTCAAATAGAACAAGTCAGTTTCAATAGTGAGGTGATAAGGAACTAAATTAAAAACATACAAGATAAACTGGCTTTGAAAAAAATTACTGTTAGTTATGAAGAGTACCTTTTTCGTTTACCTGAGATCTTTTGGTAAATTGTATGAGTTTCAAGCAGCGATTTTCTCGTTTCCACCCATATTCTTTTTGATCTTCCTCATTATAAGGAACAATTGTTGTTCCGAATTTATATCCTACAACCAGAAAACTATTGGAAAATTCGTTGTAAGAAAAACAAGTTCAATTCTCTAAATTTCAGCTATTAATTGATGCTTACGACAAAATGTTTTGAATACAAAATGTAGGATTTTAACCAAGTATAAAAATCAACTTTCAGCTTTTGAAAACAGTCAATAATTTTCAAGATTATTGATGATTTGCACAAGATAAAGTGAAGAAAGACTTTCAGAAATATAATATGAATAATTACAACAGTTCATTAACCTTTAACAATTTCTCCTTCAGACATTTTAGAACCACATCCTTGAGATAAGTTATCATTGCCGGCATCGACATCCACTGTGCTTATATCATCCCCAACTTTCTCATCTTTTACATATTTTTCATATACTGTTTTGCGCTTCAGCTGTAAAAAACAATTAGTAACAGTAGTCTGCATACCATAACAAAAAGTTCAAATTTTAATAATAAGTAGAAAAATTACCTGGGCGCCGGTTGTCGACGCATACTTTTCTGCAGCGAGTTTGAAATCAGTAGTCTGAATCTTTTTGTACATTTGTAAAGGCAATTTCAAATCAATTCCCAGTTCCAGATAGAATTTTTGACCACGCAAGTTCACTTTTCGAGGTACGAAACGCTGCAGCACTGACAAAGATTCACTAAATCAATTACAAATAATAAGCAATTGTAGAAAAAAAGAGGCATAAGCAAGTGTAGGTTCTCATTTTAAAATTATAATGTGTTTATCAATAAAATCAAAACTGACGCAAAAGAATAAATGACACCGTCAATTTGTTTCAATATATTTGTCATTATAGATTCAGCTGATTCCAATTTGAGCGATCCTACCACATTAAACAGTTTTTCTTTTGGTTTCATAGCTGACTCTTCAGTTGAAATGATTTCTTCCTTAGCTCTGCCTAGTCTTCCAATTGATGGACCTCTAGAATTAATTCAGGATTTTATCCTCGAAACGAATTTTGAAATTCAAGAATGTGAAACCTTACATAGCACTAAATTTAATTTTAATGTGAAGCCTTACATAACACTAAAATTAATTTCAAGTGTTTTGAAGCCATTTATAACGGCTTCTATGCATTCTTCATCCACATTTCCGTGAAAACCACCCAGATTTGATACCAAAAGAATATTTCGCGCAGTAATATTCTTTTCCGGATAGCTTTCTAGATGATTTCGCATATAATCTAGCGCTACGATTAACGCAGTTAGGACTAAAAATAGATACGTAAGAGCTGCGAATTTTCGTATACCTATTTTTATTTCCTAAAATTAAAAGAAATGATAGGAAACAAAAAATGAAGCGTGATATGAAGATAAAAATATAGTGAGAGAAGACACAAAAAATGTGAGCTGAGAATTTGTGAAAAGTGAGAAGGAATAATTCTGTTTAAATAACATTATGTAATACTTCCTTTATCTTTCTAGGTGCTATACATATTGCAAGCTTGAAAGTATCAACCAAAAAATAATTCAACTAATCGATATCTTGTAAGAGCATAATATACAAACTTACAGTCACCATTAATTGATTTACTCGGTTTGATTTCTTTATCAATAAATCTCAGCCAATCAGTTTTAGCTTGCTGCATTTCTTCCTCACAAAAAAAGATATTTTCATTATTTGTAACTGGATTCTGTGTTATTTCTGAACCGAAAAGTACCAGCGTAAATTCATCAATTGATTCGGTGAATATCTTCAAAATACAGGCAATTTCTCCGGACTTATAAATGCACATAAAAATGAATCAAATTGCAGCCCACTTTTATCCCACTTTTCACCTTTTAATTCTATCAGCCCATTTTTTGCCTTTTATTCTATTAGAAACAGCAGCCATAAAGAGACGTTAACATAAATCTGCTGAATTTCAAATCCTTATCATATCTGGCTGATCAAAGACATATGTTCTTTCACTGATGTTACGCTATTTTTTTTCGAGAATGTGTGCAAAATAAAAATTGTCGTAATCAAAAAAATATGTCAGCACCCAATAAAAAATACCTCAAACTGCACAGCCTGTTGCAAATGCAAGAAAGCAATTAATATGCCGAAATAATCTGCCAACTCTATTACTTCACTCTTGCTAAGATTCAACAAAACATACTTTTCTTGTTATGATCCATTCCACGGCATCCTTTGCTAACTCCATGTCTGTAGCTGCAACTCCTTCCTTATTCATATTTGCTCCAACATCAATCAAAATTACAGTACATTCATGTGACGCTTTTTTGGCTCGTTTTGTTGGATGACCATCATCCGACATTATTCTCAGGGCTTTGATTTGAACTGAATCATCACGGAAATATTACTAGGAACTAAATTTAAGTTGTTCTGGACCAACAATACTTTTCTGTTTCGCAAAAACGCACATTCTCGATTCAGAAGAACGCATTCAAGCTTTTTTTTAAAAGAATTATAAAACAGTCTGTTAAGAGCATAACAAAAAATAACATTAGCGATTTAAAAAACTTTAAAACTGAGTACACTGAAATGAAGCAAGCAGGCTTTTATTAAATTAGAACACAAATTAAGATAGTATGAATATCATAAAAACTTCGCCATCCAACTAAACTTCGCTGGTCCTGCATACAATTCGGTTCATAAGCGGACCACCATATTTACCCAGTGGTTTTCCGAAGTATTTTGAATCTGTTATAAACTTAATGTTATTCAAACCTCGTTCACTCTTTTTTATTCCTAGCCTGAAAAAAGAATCATAAAAATAGATGTAGAAAATCGAGGTTTTTTTTATAATAACAGCAAATTCGAAATACAGCAAAGCATAATTAAATAATGTAAAAGTAAAAAAATAGCACATTTGAAGTTATATGATCAATAAAACCAATGCTACACACGGCAATTTTTTGTGAACGATTAGAAATTCTAAGCAAAAAGACAGGTCAGAAAGACAACCAACCTATTTAATAGATGATCTGCATAATGAGGTACAGCTGGCTGTAATAAAATTCCACAAATTCGCAATACTTCATAACAGATATATAGCAAAGAAGATACCTGGAAATAAATGATAATTTGAACAAGTCATTGGATCTCAAATATTAAAACGACTGATGTTAATGAGTAGTAGGTTTAAATATATAGAACTAAAAAAGACGACCTTTTTGTCGTCGAGTTCTTTCCATGGTTCATAAAACTGAAAAAAACCATTTGCTTGCCGCGCTACCTCCATAAGAAGTTCGAGAGCCTTATAAATCATTAATTCATCAAACTGTTCTTCGCATACTTCTGTAATATAGCTTCTTACATCTCATTTACATTTATTAAGTTTCAAAATGTATAAAATATACAGGAATACTTAATTTTTTTTCTCGATAACCTGATTATTGTAAAGTGAAAAAAAGTCATGACTATACCTGCCAAACAGTTGATAGATTTTATCAGTGGTTCACCTAATTCTACTAAACCATTACGAAATGAATCCGGATAAAATGTAGGATATGTTTGAGATGGATTAAGCTTTTTGATCATTGAGCGTTGTAGCAAATTTCCAACATTATTTATGAGATCCGTGTTGATGACATTGATAGCTTTTAACATTGTGAAATCTGCAATATATAAGCACAAAATCTCCAATACTTTTAATTTTAATGGAAATTTTCCAGCGTCCATAGAAGTACGAAATTTAGAGAAAATAAAACAAAAGACTTGAAATCTTTATTTATAATTTTCTATCGAAATAAAAACAAGCTCACTTGTATCATTTTGTGGAGTTCCTTGTCGAAGTAAGAAATACCTCAACCCTTCTTCAGACAACGATTTGGCAGCAATAAATGGGTCGACCACATTTCCAACACTTTTTGACATCTGGAACAATAGCATGAAATAAATGGAAGAGAAATGATAGAAAAGAATACTGTGACTAGAACACATAAAAGAAGGAAACCTTAGCTCCATCCACAAGCCAGTGACTGTGAACAAATATGCGCTTCGGAAGAGGAAGATCGAGTGCAAGTAAAAATGCCGGCCAAATAACTGCATGAAATCTTTTCAATATTTTAATATTGAAAAAAAATTAAAAATATTAATAAATTAAATGGAGGAAAAAAACAAACATCAACTCAAGCAGATGCAATTTTGCAATTCTACACAAAGCCTATGTTCTTTATCTCAAAGCTATGTGGGATGGTAGTAACTGTATAGTATCGAAAGATATCATAGCAATTCGAAAAGTTCAGTGTAAGCCGTTTTCAGCATTACCAGTAACTTGCCACCACTAAAAATGTGCGACTAATTTATCCTTATTTTTACTGTTCTAGAGATAAAAAATTGATTCTATCTAAAAATCAAACAAATTCAATACAAAATGACTACCTCTACATTAAACAACCTAAATCACTAAAAAACGAGTTAAAGTATTACTTCAAAATATCTTTGCCAATGATCTGACATGTAGGTGGCCAATTTGATTTTTTCTTGTTAAAGAGAATACCACTTACTGTCAAATAATTCATTAGTGCATCGAACCAAACATATATCTGCAATGAATTATAAACTGCTAACACTTGAATGAAAGTGCGACAATCTTCTAAATTCAATATTTTCAAGATGAAACGAATGTAAGATATAGTGTGAGGGTAGTGGAGTGTTCTCCTACTATCTACAATGACTAAATTGCCTAACATTTTTAATAGAAATAGTATCTCAGTAAATTAAAACTTACCGTTTGACTTTCATCATTTGGTACTGGAATGCCCCAACTGACTCGCTTTCTGTCTCTTGATAATGAAAGGTCGCCTTCTATGTTTGCTTGTTGAAGTGCTTCCGGAAAATAAATTTTGGGACGTATAACATCTGAAAGTTAAAAATAATATTAAAACGAAAATCAGTGCTAAGCACAATTTTGTCATTGCAATTTATTTGTAAAAATGCTCAAAGTAAAAAAGTTCTTGTACAAATTCTACTTCAATATCGGATTAAATAATATTCTTTTAAGCTCACTGCTAAGCCGATATCTATTTGAGGAATCTTGCCAGATATTAACAAATATCTAAGAAAACTGGTTATGTCTATCAGTTTTGCAAACAGAAAATACCTATCTCCTCCAGAAAAGTCGCATGGACGGAAACTTAAGAGCAACAAAAATTACGATATATAAGAATCACTATAGAAATGAAAATTAAACTATTCCCAAAATGATCCGCAATTTTTGAACTCACCACAATTGTTGAGCCAATTTCGTATCTTATCAAGATATCTATATATAGGAAATACATAATTTTCTTCTTGCACCCATTCTACGACTGAACCCGTGCTTTTACTAACCTGAAATATTTGCGCCAAGAATAAAAACTGAATTAAAAAGAAAGAGGAAAAAAGTAATTATGATTGGTGAATGGCTTGAGATTGATGAATGACGGAAATGTGATTCTTGGAATACTTAGATTGAGACAAGCAGTCCAAGATCACATTTCTTTTGTTTCGAACGATTAGCCTTTGCAGTAGTCATTAGGTCTTTATCTTTAATATCAGCACACGCATCCATTTATTTTAATCTAAAAATGAAACAAAACTAAAATCAAACCATGGAAGTTTGTCCACCCAATTCCTCCACTTCATCGCTAGTATAGAAGCATTCATCAGTAGTTGAATACCAGCCCTCATGTCTACCTCGCTGTATTTGTCCTCGCTTATCTAGTTCTCTCTAAATCACACTTTCTTTTTTTTTCACATTTTTCACTACATTAAAAAAACTTCTACTCATTCCCACCTTCAGATAATTTGAGATATTCTCTCCTGAAGCAGTTACACTCGATTTATACTTTCATTATTAACAAATCTTACAATTATTTGCAACAAAAGATTGGCTAGAAATACCGAAAAAAATGTGAAAAATCTTTACCCACACATGCTTAACGACTTCTTTGTGTCGTGTTTCAGTAGTCCGAATAAAATCATTTGGTTGTATACTAAAGGTGCAAAGTAGATCCTTGAATTTATTGCTAATATTATTGCAATAACTTTGTGGATCATAACCGGTTGCTGTGGCGGTTCGCTGGATCTAAAAGTAGATGAAAAATTATAAAGAAAGCTTATTATGGGGTGAAGAACTGAATAATTAAATTTCCAGCTTTATACTTTTTCAAGCTTTAAAAAGATCGCAAATGATGAAAGAATTTCCAAAAAGCAGTTGAAAAGACTGAAGGCGTGGCTAATGTCATAAAATACTCTGCTGCTATTTTGCTATTTCATCTTGATCATCTTGATTGATTTTAAATTTACCTTTAACCCATGTTCATCAGTTCCTGTTGTGAATAAGGAATAATTCGAATCAGCATTCCCACTCTTCAACAGTTTCCAACGATTTGAAGCATCTGCTAACAGCGCAGTATAAAGATGACCAATATGTGGAGCTAAAAAAAATTCACAGAAACTAGATACCTAAAAAAAATCAAATTCACTGAATGATTCTGCTAAAAAATATCAAAATCTAAAGCACATAATAAAACAACTAACGTCCATTAGCGTAAAATATCGGGGTAGTTATAAAATGCCTCAGTCTCATTGAAACCATCGAAATCCCTTCGATGGAACATAATGTTTTTATACTACAGATCATTAGATATAAACATCTGAAAACATAATAAAGAGGAATTGAAAGTAAGCTTAACCAGTTTCAGTTCGACTGCGCTCCATAAAAGTAACAGAACCACTTCTATACCACTTCTATTTTTTAGAAGTGTTTAGACTATTTAGTTATTTATATCGAAAAAGTTTGGTTCACTTATGGAAGAAAAACATGAAAAATACAAAATGCAATAAAAGAACGTGATGCTTCGTAAGACAAGAAATCAAATTCCTGAAGTATTAAATTTTATTGAGAAAATTATATATATATCTTTAACATTAAGACATAACTTTACAACATGCAAAGAAATGACGATGTAGGTTTATGTCAAGATAATAGACTGAATACTTTAGCACTAACCGCTACGCGACAACCCAAGTAATAATTACATAAAAAAATGGATTTGAAAATCCGCAAAAGCGAGAACTTCATATCAAATGTTCTAACATTTCAAGAATTTGAATCGAACTTTCCACTAAATGTCTGCTTTCTGATTGAAAGAATCGATACATGCATAATATCGAGATGCATTTTCATATAATGCAACGTTAGCAATTCGGAACTATACCCTTTGCCAAAAGCTTCATATGGCACATTTAATAAAAACAATCAAGGAAAAAATATCTTTTTGAAAATGTCTGTCTCCAATTTCAATTAATTCTCTAAAAGCTGGAAATCTTTTGAGCAACAATTATTTACAATTTAGAGTTTGGAACTCCTTATGTGATGAGGTTTATCTCCTTCTAATAAACTTACATCATCATAGGTTTTGTCATGCAAAAATTCTCGTTCGATTTCCGGTAGCGAATGACCCTCGATACTATAATCAATAAAGTATTCCTTCATTAATTTATTTTCTAGAGCAGCAGCGACTTTATCCGGATCACGTAACTCTCTGATTTCTAGTGGCTTTTTGGCGAATATCAACTGATACTCCGTATTCGTTTTTCCTTTGATATACTCCATCTGCAGCAAACAATTATTCATTAAGTTAGCTAATCACAGGATTTTCACAAGCAGCTGGTGTTTAAATGAGACGATTTTGATTTTTGCATTATTAATCAAACATGAAAAATTCGTATTTTTTCAAATTATATATTTCAGACACTGTATGACAATATAAGCTATCAAAAACTAAAAGATTGTAAAAAAACTCCATATGTTAACACCATCTTTTTTAACAGAATGAAATCCTAAGCATGGCAAAACTTTAATAATTCCTGATAATTTTGCTTTTAATAAAAATTTCATTTCATTCCTGAAGTTTTCTTTGGAAATTTTTTTTTTTCAGATTTAGTAAGATTATATAACTGACATCTTTAGAAGATCAATTCAGCAAATTTTTCGCAAGCGAACCTTACTTTGATATCTGCAAATCCAGCGGGTTCCAACTCGAAAATATATCGAGTTGGATCAAACTGCCGCCGCCTTATCAATTTCGCTTTTTCCAGCAACTCTAACCTAAAATCAAGTCGCCAAATGAATTTAAGGTTATGAATACTAAAAACTGGATCACTAATCTAACTGAAAATTCTTATAATTTTACTTTTTATTAATCAAATTATTAGAAACAAACTTTTTCAAGTGTATGCCGGAGAGGAAGATACCGCCGGGTTTCAGCACCCTAATTATCTCAGCTAGTGTTGCTGGTAAATCAGATGTCCAAAAATATGGTGAATGAACATGAAATATTTTGTCGAAAAATTCATTGTTAAATGGCAAAAGCTTTGCATCGAGTACCTAAATACACCGAAGAAAAATAAATGATCAATAAGCTCTCATAAATGCAATTTACGAAAATGACTGTAACAGACAGAAGACGAAAATGATAACATTGGAAAATCATTCTGAGAAAAAATACTTGCTTCATTAAAAACAATCCGTTTATCTTCCAATGCACTCTTTGGAAAACGTCCTTGAACCGCTCCAAACAATGAAGTCCACTTATCCACACTGTATACTGTTCCTTTGCCTTCTCTTATATGCTTGTAAGAGCACAACACACCTGAACTTACCTGACGTAATTGAAATACTTCGAAACTCATCACCAAAATTGGTAATTATTTGATACCTTCACTGAACAAGTGAAGGTATTACCTTTGGATTCTAATGACTCAAATGCAATAATGCAAACAGCATAAGAAAAAATAATGCAATCTTATTTTGGAAAGGAACTAAAAGCAATTCAGTAAGCTGAAGGATTAAATATATTGAAACAAACCATCGCCGAACCCAATTCCAAGTTCCAGAACTTCATCATCGGGTGATATATTCAACGCATCAACAACAGCATTCATCAGAAAGGGTGATTTCCAAGCCAGCAGTCCCGACATATACACTCCATCAGCTGCATCATTAGGAGTTGCTAACTGCCACGGAAAAAATTATATTATTAAAGTAAACACATGCTCCTATATGTTAATTGAGAGTGCTCAAATATTCATGGTATCAATTTAAAAAAAAATTAAATCTACAGTCAAATTATCCGATCTATGATACCGTTATTATTCATAAGTTGAAGTCATTTAAATGGATGCTATTTGATTCGAAGATGCTAAAAAGAGAAAGTTAGTTCTAATGCTCTACGCTATGTCAAAAGACATGAAGTTGTACAAATCACTGTAATCAAATATATCATTAACGGTATATACTTTGTGCTGAAATAGTCGAATAATTTTTATGATAGATGACATAGTTGCAGTAATTCATTTCATACTCATTCTCGAATCTGCAAAATTTTCTCCGGAATTAAAATTAACAAAAATGTGAATGTTGAATAATGAATACGCATAACAAAGTTGGCAAACCTAAATTTTACAATGAATTGCATAAATCAGACTCAAGAAAATAAGTCACCCTCAAGCAATCTTTTACAATGAAGAACTGTTCAATCTCATTTTGCGTAATGTTGGATAGCAAAATTAGCTATTCAAATTCAACATACACCATTGGGGGTTCCAAAGTAAAAGTAGGCCAGATATATTTGACATCACCGGGGATATTAAGCGAACAGTGCAAAACGCACCACCTTATTAATTTTTCGGAAAGTACGACCTTATCAATTTGGAATCTAAAAACAAAAATACAACAATCAACAGCACAAGTAGACAATACAGGCAATCTCATAACTGGAAATAATAGTGCTTATTTAATAATCATACAAACGCATACATTTCTAAATAAAAGAAAATACAAATAATTTTTGTCTCTTATCTTTGGAATCTTTTGCAACACCGAGTATGTGTCATCCATTTTATCAACACGTTTGAGAATAACGAATAGTAAGAATGGTGCCTCTCATTCCCTCAATATACTGTCTCTCTCAAAAACCTTATCACTCTCTGCAGTCTATTGAATTCTAAATGTTCTAATTCAGAAGTATAATACATGATTATCAAATGTTTGATTATTTCTTCATCACGCATCCATTACATCATTATCAATCTCTAAACAACACTATTGCCATCGTTCTGTTCTCGTTGAACTCTCTCATAGTTCCGTACTATTTCTTAGATGAAATAGGTTGGTGTTGCGAACAATTATTTACATTTCATGGCAACCATTTGCACTTAGTCACGGGTTTTTTGAGTTTTTCAGTTGTTACCGCGTTGTGCTGATTGTCGCTTCTATAAATTTTTTAGTGCGGAAATGGTGTACGAAAGATGTATTCTCGAGCCTTTTATCATTCAATCGGGAAATTGGCATGTTTTGGCATGTTTCTATTCCGAATTACATCATATTAGTTAGTTATTGAAAAAGTGTTTGCATTTGAAGTTTTAGAGACTTTTGAAATTGAACAAAGCAGCAACAAAGCAGGTGTAATATGAATAATTATGCAATTCTTTTCCTTATCCCCTTTTCCCTATTTGCATTTTTGTCTGTTAAATTATCGTTACTGTTTGTTCACCTAATTGTCCGATGGATTTTACGTATGCAGTAAGGACGCATTCATCTTATCTATTCAAATCAAAATCTGAATATAATTAATGTGAATTCAACTATGCATATCAGTATAACTCAGCAAAGAGTTATTCGACAACATTATAGCATAGGAAATGAGTCATAGGATGCACATCACGGCTCTCACATCGCAAGTCATGTTTGTGCCATTTAATAATTTAATACTAGCTAACTTAGTAAATTGGCTGATATATTTCTGCTGCTTACCTTTCATACTTTATCGCATTTACTATGTATCGTTAGATCTCGTTGAATACATGCAAAATTTATTATTGCAAATGCTTCGCGTTCATAAGTTCCGATGTCTTCTCCACCAATATGAAGTATTTCAGGATGAGTAAAATTTTTTAGGTTCTTTAATCATAGCAGGAAATACCAATGAGAAAGATGAAAACTATCTATTGAATATCAAAAGAAATATGGAAAAGATAAATGAAAGCCAAAGAACTGATTTAAACAAAAGACCTGAAATTCTAGTCGAGGGCAGGCAAGGTGATTGCTTTGGTACTAGCGAGGGACTTGAAAGTGATTCAAGAAAAATAACTGGGAATGATGGAGAAGTTCGTTTTTTTCTTCTGTTTGATTTAATTAAATTTGGTGGTGATAAGTCCTGCGATGATGATGTACATAATTTTCCTTATTTTTACCAAAATACCATAACTGCATGCATAAATAGTGCAGTATTTTTCATTGACCAGTTCTTCAATTATATCACATTTATGGCGAAAAATATAATGTAATGTTAAGTTGTTTTCGGTGGTGTTATGAATACATAAGATTCAGGAAGAGGCGAGTAAAAGTAAAAGTATGTGGTATGTTTCCAACATTTGAATAGTAAAGGAACAATTTATACCAAATTTAGAAAAAAACCTTTAGTAGCTTTATTTTTTTTATTTTTAAAAATGCAAAATATATTGCCATTTCTAGCGTGAGAAGTGTGAATCGCCGAAACCAAACATGGATGTTCAAATACTTCAGCGTGCAATACAAAAGCTTTACAGCGATCCTTCCTTTGCAATCATTTGTAGTTTCTTCAACAAATTCGCCATCTTCCTCGGTTTAAAACCGCAATGCTTCGCCAAAATGGAAAGCATATTTACCAGTTTTCACGTTACAGGCAAAGGTCATTTATTACGTTTTGCTAGGCTGTGAAGGACCAGTGGTACACTCACATAGGACTGCAATAATTTAATCTTGTTATTTGCATGCCAAACTCAAATGATCATATTTGCCATGTCGTAATTAGCATCACTGTATGTCGTAATGCAAGTGATGCTTATTGAATGATTAAAATTAAGCAAACCAAATTTGCAAAAATCAAAGACAGCTGTTTTTTTAATGTTGTCTTTCTACGTCATGATATTTTTTACTTTTTAGTTGATCGGGATTTGATCGATTTACATTTAATGTTGATGCGAAAACTAACATTTAAATCAGCAAGATTGGAAGTGTGGGAGAAATATCTTCTGAAATTCTGCTCTCTTATTCCTTCTCTAGAGAGTGAGTACCTACAGCTGGAACGGTACGGTTACTTGCACACAACTGCGGGCACGAAGCTTGCAATTCTCAAAGCTTTATGCGAAAGTCAATTTGACTTCAACGTTAAATTCAAAGAAAGCGTAAGTTATATACGGTTCTAGAGCGTACAACACAATGTATAGAAACAGGGAACATTATTTAAATACCTTAAAACACAATAGGGAACGGACCTCAATTATAACGTAAAGTATTTTTTTAATTTTGATATTTTATTATTTAATATATTTATTAATTTAATTTTTCAGCTATTAAATTCCTGTGCAGCAAGTGATTTACGACTTTTGCCTATCGGCTATGACAAGGAAGGTCTTGCTTACTTGTATCAGCAAGACGTTGATTTAGTTATTCGTATATATTCAGCTGAACAGGATGATCATTCGGGTGGCTCATGGAATCTTGTTGCCAAGTAAGTTTGTTTCACTCGAACTTATTTTTCTATCGTCACATTTTTGAATTTGATTTTTCATTTATGGATGTACAAAGAATGCAGTCAAAATCATCAGCGCTAAATAAACGTTCTAAATTGAAAATTTTGTTAGGTCATGAAATTGCAATAGATATGGCTTCTTGATAGCTATTGAAGATCGTCATTAGCAGAAGCACTTTATTTGATCACTCTTCTGGATTTAACAGACCAATAGCATTTTTTCGATGTTTCGAAAAATATTTTTTCATCATAGTCTAAATTATTTGTTTTCTTTTTTCAAGCTGCACAAGACATTTTGTATGTAGAGAGATTACATTTGCTTAAATTTAATTCTGAAGTTTTTTGAAGTTAGTTAAATATCTTCGAGATTTTTAAGGTGTAAAGAAGAACTAGAAAATTTGGTTATGGAATTAAAAAATAGACTTGCTTCAAAATATTTATCCAATCTACTAAAACAGCATGAAGGTTTGTAATTTTTTCATCGCTAAAGTTCCAGAATTGTGTATCTCAAAAAAATAAGCGGTATACGGATTTAGTTGCGTTAAATATCATTAAGCTTAGATTCTTATCAGACAATGAAAAAGATTGGGATTCTTACCGTTTACGATTTAGGCAGTTTTTTCTGATTGTTTTTGTAATATAAATGTTATTTTGAATATAGGTTTTTAGATTCATCACCAACTTCGTCTACAATTGAGACGGATGAGAAAAGTAATGTTTCATCTTCATTTACAACAAAAAGAGGTGCTTTATTGGATACTTACCAGGACGAGTCTGCAATTAAGGTATACAAAAGATTGCTTCATTTACTATCAATTATTTCGTATATGACATTTATTTATATTATTTATTAACAGAAAAAAATCGTAAGACCGAGTCAAATGAAGAAAAAAGTGGCTGTTGAAGAAGAATCAAAAAAAGAAAATAGTGCGCCACCAATAGAAATCACAGAAGATATTCCCGACGAAGTAAAACCATTTGTAAGTTTTTTGCTTTATATAAGATGTATATTTCAGTGTGCAAAGAAGTAATTTCGTACTGTGTGATGAATCGCTTTTTTATGATATATTTTTAAATTTTAAAAATTTGCATTTTCAGTTGGATCGTCGTGTACTACCACGCAGAAGTGCGCGCAGTGCTGCAATAAATCAGTTGAAAGAGTTGACTGCTCCGCTAAAACCTCAAAGTGGCAAGAGGAAAAATCAGCAAAACAAGAAACAGATAGAAATAGAAAATGCAAAACAGCTGAAAATTCTTGATAAAAATGTGAGTTAGTTGATTTCTTAGAAAAGAAGCGTTTTTTAAAGAGAATGTATCATCTAAAACGTCGGACTAATATTTTAGGATGATCAGGATGATAGCGAAGACAATGATGAAAATGAAAAGGATGATAATGATGCCGATGATTTTATATTAGCAGAAACTTCGACCTCTTCTGATGATGACTTCATGCCGCTTTCTGAACTGAAAAAGAAGAACCAAAGGTAATTTTATTTTAATAATTCATACACTTAGATTTAATTTTTCTATTAATTAATCATTGCAAAGATTATATGGTAAAAGTGGACGTGCAACCACCTTGCAGTTCAAGATGTCGTCGGGAGAGAAAAGCAGCTGTGGAAAAAGATCCGTTTGAAGTGGTCGAATCAGAAGAGGATGAAGAGAGCGATGACGATCAAGAAAAGAAAACCAAGAAAGAGAGGAAAAAAGCTACGGAAGAAACACTCTGCATGAAATGTAGCAAAAGCTCAAATCCAGAAGTGGTAATACTTTCGTTTGTTTCTTTTTCATTTATAGAACGTGGAAATCAACTCATCATTTTTAAAGGTTATGATCCATTTTGAAATGTTAAATCTCTTATGGCGTCATAAATTTCTTTTGCATGAGTCATTGATAATTAGAAGCATTGCTGAAAAGCAGGCTAATGTCCTGATATCTTGGGATCTTAAACATCTTCTAGTTGCTCTTGTGCGATTTATGCGATGAAGCCTGGCATACATGGTGCTTACACCCAATATTATGGTACGTACCAGATGATGACTGGTTTTGTCCAAACTGTCAGCAAGCGATGCTAATTAAAAAATTCTCCGAAGTGCTAGTTGTACTTGCTGAACAAGTAAAGCGCAAAGCTGCTGAAGACAAGAAGTAATTTTTTGCGAAATTTTTTATAATTATAGATAAATAGGAGAAAAATAACAACATACCAGAAAGCAATGCTCTTTACTAATATTCTTGCTATCATTGTTTTAACTCAGGAAAGAAGCAGCTGCAGAAAGATTGAAACGCGAGATGGAATATATTGGTGTATCTTTAAATAACATCATTGATACGGTGCGTTTTTTTTTTCAACCATTATGTAATTATATTACTTCCTGCGATTTATATGCTGAAGATGATTTTAACATTTCATAATAGTTGTTTGCAAAATTTTTTGGGTTGACTTATTTTCGTTTTTGTGGTGAATTAGTGCCCAACTGGACACTTAAAAGCTTGAATATAAGAGATGAACACACAGACTAGTGAAGCTTTGAAACACAATTATTATTCAGATGCACAAGTTTACTGTTAATATTCTAAGTGGGTGTATTTTTACTTTCAGGTAAGAGATGCGAAAGTAGAAAGTTCTGAATCATCAGAGGAGTCGGATGAAGATGATGGCGAACGGAAATCGAAAAAGAAAGCTATTAGGTAAATTTGTTCATTTCTTTGCTGCAGTATTCTTTTTTTGTTGATCACAGCATATTTTTTATTGAACATCTTGGCTTCTTCAGGCGTCTTGGTGTCTGTCCGCAGAAACCAGTCGTCCCAATAGCGCTTTCACGATCAAGACGCCAAGTTGCTAAAGTTGACTATAAATTTGGTGCTTACGATGAATTAATCCAGGTATTTGAGTAGATTTTTTTTGTTCTTTTTTGCTTCATATTGGATACAATCTGTGCTAATCATGTGTGGTTATTAAAATCAAATGATGTTAGTAAAAGCAGTAGTTAGGCATGATTTTTCTCGCATTCGTTTTGAATGGAAAAAGATATTTCTTTTATAGGAAGCAGTAAAAAATATAGATGAATCGGCAGCAAGACAAATGAGTCCAAGTATGTTTTTATTTTCCATTTTTTTTTTTGTTTGAATTGAATTCCTAGCCTTGTTTGACAGTTTTAAAATGTTTGTGTGAAACTTGAAGTTGCAGGTAACGTGCGACCAAGGAGTGGAGCCGGACGCGGCAAAGATATGTCGAACATCATAAATGCTGAAAATAAGCGGACACAAAAAAGTTTAGAGGACGGTTACCAGGATGATGGCCCCGAATGGTTCGGATTTTGAACTTAATAAAAGGATTAACAGTGTTGCTTAACAAGTTTAAATTCATAGACTATTACTAAAAGAAATTTCATAAGTCAGAGTTCATGTTTCCGCCTCCTCTGTAGGTTCATGTCATTCATATAATAAACTGATAATGAGATCAGTTTATGTTTACTAAAAAAATAAAAAAAAAAGTTTAGTAATGGCCATCAGTAACAGATTTTCCTGATATTTCTTGTGTGAAAATGATGTCAAAAAACACTTGATTTTCTCTGATATCGTACAAATTTTATTAAAGCCATACGAGAGTAAAATCAAAAATTGGAAAGTCGGCCAGAAGTCGTCATCGATTAAATGATCTAAATGTAGATGAAATGACTGAATCGGATACTGATGAATATCAAGCAAGCGAGTAAGAATTTTTATGCGAAGCTCTTTTTGATGTTATATATACTTCTCACACGGAGTATTATGAAAATATTTTTTTTTGCGTATTTTTACTATATTTCTGTTTTTTTTATTTGATATGTTTTGGTTCCAACTTTGTTCTTCATGAATCAATACTTAACTAGAAATCAATACCTAACTCATTAATGCATAAATACTGCAATTTTTGAATCTTAAATACTGAGAGCATAGTTTGTAAAATGGAATACGACTGCAAAAGGTAGTTTTATAGTAATAAATTCATAAATTATTAAAATATCCAAAAATAGGTTTTTTTTTTCCTTTGGTTCATCCGGCTCTAGTCTTTTAAAACGCTGTGATCCAAAAGAGCTAAAAACTTATATTGATATAATTGTCCATAGAGACAATTAATTTATGGATAAGAAATGATCTGTGCTGTAAATTCAATCCAATATGTCACATTATTAGTATATGATTTTTACAAAAGGTCGTTAAATCAGTATGTGAATAACTAGATCATCTTTCGAACTTGAAAAGTTTTTAGACGAGCAAAGGTTTGATATTATTCGGCAAAAATTTATTAATGTACATTGCATGAACAGGAATTTTTTTTCATACGCTTCTGAGCAATAATTTCCTTTTAGCAGTGCTTCTGTTTCCGATCCAACAGATGACACCGATGAATACGTACCTTCTGATGTTTCCTGTACAAGGAGGTATCAATTTTATTTAATTTGAACATTACGGGACTGTTCTTATTTCTAGTTTTTGTTTGTGCTTGATATTAGCTACAATTTTTATTAATACTTTGACAATTAACTGTGCAATTTTCAGAACATCCAAACGGAATTATTCTAATAAACGAACTCAAAGCGATGATGATTTTGTTGTTTCTGGCTCCGAAAGTGAATACGAACCATTAAGAAAAAAATCGCATAAGTTAAAAAATACAAAAAAAATAGGAGGAAAGAGGAAACGTGAGAAATGGTTGGTTTCACGATTTATTATATTAAAATTGATGAATACTTTTTTGATTCTGAATATGTTGCTGATATGTTTGTATCGACCTCCATCACAGTAATGTTAATAGTACTGCTGGGGAACTTTATCGTCTTTTGCAACGAAACATCGTATTTTGAAATATTCAGATTACTTTTATTTCATTTAATTAGCTGGTGATTTGTAGTTCAATAGCTAAGGCTAATACGTTGATTTTTTGCGAAGAAATGGTCTTACATATATGTACAAAGGTGGTAGATGATATCTATCATCGTTGCTCTTTCTATAATCTTTCAATTATTGTTTTATAGGACATCTTCTGATGAAGATTCCACTTCCGATCGTAGCGACAATTATCAGAGTGAAGAAAATAGTAGTGGGGAAAGGCGTGTAAGGCGACGTGCTATTGCTAAGTGGGCACCACGTGCGAGCAGTTCGGATACAAATTCGAATCATTCGGTACAAAAGACTGCTGCTGGAAGGTAGTGTCATTTTTCCTGAAAGATATCACCGAAGTAGTTATAAGCAATTGAATTTAGAAAAATATTGCTGCCCGAATATATTGATTCAGTTAAATTAAAGAATATTCAGGCCGTTAAGGAAAGCGGTAGCAAAAAGACCAAGCTTGACAGTGGATAATGGTGACGATGAGGAAGGAGAAGAGGATGAAGAGATGGAAGAGAGACTTAAAGATGTTCGTCCGGTCGGTACTGGGCGAAAAACTGAAAGGTAAGAAGTGGGAATTGGCACAATAGTTTGGTGTATGTCAGAGGCTCATTGTCAGATACCTCTAGGTTAGAGTAGTTTCTGCTATACATTTATGTTTTTTTTCGGATGTTTATATCTAACAGGCGGCATAGTTTCAATGATTTTACTCACAAAACGCGATTAAATAATGTTGATTTTGTTTTTATAATTCAACTATACATTCATTTTGCTTTTACCGGTGAAGTTTGCTCTCTAATTGATGAAAGTGAATATTTTACAGTTCTGATGAATTTGAACCAGATGACGAGGAAGAAGAGGAGGAGGAGGAAGCGGAAGACGAAGAAACTGATGATGATGAGGAGATGGAAGACAAGGAGGAAACATCGACGGCTGACGATGAGAAGCAAGAACAAGATGATGAAGAAGAAAAAGGAAAGATAGTGAAGGTTGAAAATGGTAAGAATTGTTGCATTAGATAATTAATCACTCTTTAAAATATTAAAATTTAGACTTACTAGATGATCCGATTGAGAATGTTGACATGATTTCTTGAACTCAGTTTATGTTCAGGTATCGAAGTTGTGAAAGAAGCTATATTCACTCCGGCTAAGGCTTTATCTGTTGAAGATCATAAGAAGCAGACAAAAGATGCGGATGATATCGCTCCGTCGACTTCGAGCGATGTAAAGATTGTGGTTAAAGATAGACCATTGCCAGTTTTATGCCGTGAAATTAATGCAAATTAGTTCTTACCGCAAATATTGAGGAGTAATAAACAGATATAATCTTTTCTGTTACCACTGCTACGCTTTTAACTAAATTTCCACATACTGTTAATATCCATGATAATAAATTCTTATCATGTAAACAATATATTGCAGCTTATCGATAAAACAGCTTGGAAGGTAAAGTCGGAGCAAGCAGATCAGGAGGTTTGTATATGTGTTTTTATGTCTTTTTTTGATTTTTCAAATTTTTTTTGATTGGAAATTTGTTGTAAAAGAGATTTGTTTCGGAAAATTTTGAAAAAATGATTTAGGTATTTTATACCGAAAATCTGAAAACGGAGGATGTAAAAAAAGTAGAGGCAAAAGTAGTGGAGAAAGTGGTAGTTGCAAACATGGCAGCTACAAGCTCGAATGTAACTTCATGTATTCCATCTTCATGGTACATTCCACTTCTGTTAATTTTTTCTTATATGCTAATCGAGTTTATTATTAATCAGTTAAGTTGCCTACCAATATTTGTTTTCTACAGTTATTTTTTATTTTTAGCTCATGAGTTAGAGTTCATAGGTTAGGTATGATAGGAATATGTGGTCAGGACAGACAGACTTCAGTGGACTGTTTGATGTATTAAAGTATTTTTTTTTCATGTAAATACAAAGAAATGTAAACTGTTCAATAAACTTGTATTAGTTTTCGAAATTTCGCATGATTGTTTTCCTATTAAAGTTGTTAACACATGACTCTGATTTGAAAATGTGCAAGAGTACTGTGATTGTTAAAGTTCCCCAAGATTTTTTTCTGTGCAAGCATAACTAGTTGCAGCTTTCCATCAACCTCAACGGACTTCTCATCGCTGAATCCATCATCGGTAATGCAGCAAATGGCTCAACTTGCATCATCGTCAACTACACCTATGCAGCAATTTGATACCTCAGGTGCTGCTTACCGAGACGTGCTGCAAACTGCAGCTCCTACGTTCATTTCTAATGGGGCCCCACTGCAGATTTATTCAGGTATGTTTATTAGAATTTAGGTAGATTTATTTACCTGATTTCATTTGTTTTTTGTTTTATTAATTATATTTACATTTGAATATTTGCATTGTTAGCGGACCGTCTGGTTATAAACACCATCGTCTTCTGGTGCAACTGTATGTCAAATAAGGTGCTCCGATATTGCACTGTTAGCTGTCAAGCTGTTTTCCTTAGCCTACTCGATCTTTAAATGTGTATTAATTTTGATTAAAACATTTTCATGCTGTGCATTTATTCAGATGCGAAACATCAGTTTTTCGTATCTGAGTATCAGTCCTATTTGTTGCATAAATATATTCAAATAGACATTCAGTTTTGGCTTTTAAACTTCTATCATTTTCCCAGTTTTCTTTTTCAGGTCCAGCTCCAGTTACTCCATATCAAATGCAGCAGCCGACATTTGTGAGGACTTCTACAGGCATGGTTCAGTCCACCATTGGTCCATTGTCGCAAGGATGGCCTCCCTATCCACCTCCAAATCCTTTTCCGGCAAAGTTGGTTTGCTTTCTATTTTTTTACGTTAATTCAAGCATTATTCTTTTTTAAGTTAAAGATTCATTCCATTTGATATTTCCAGTGCAGCAGTCCCACCGATGGTCACTGCTACGACAACTCCATCACCAACTACAGATTCTGAGACACTTGGAAACGTTCTTGCTTCTGCAATGGATTACTAATTTGTTTTACAAAACATTTCTGTTCTGAAATTGAGTCATTCACGCGGCTTTATATATTTTTGTTATTTTATGTTTTCTCCAATTTTTTTTAATTCTTGTGAATGTGTTTTGCAATTCTGTTCATATCTTGGAGACATTTAGTCATTTCTGCGAAAAACTGCTGAAATAACACATTCTTAATTTTCCAGAAAATATTGATCAAATGAGATATAGTAAATTAATTTCAGAGAAAAATCCAAAATCTAATGAAATATTTGATTTTCGTTTTATTCTTATGATCTATTATGCTTATTATTTTAATAAGCATAGTGTGTCATAAGCATTTTCCTACCCAGGACAGTTAGGGCTCGAATGAAAAGAAATTTTTTCAATACAATTTTGTATTTATTTTTGTTTTCATATATAGCAACATGCTTTAAAATCCTAAGGTTTTGTTCATTTCTTGTTCATAATATTGGTTTACTGCATCGCGATGATTAAACATGCATGACTGGCTACTAAAAATTCATTTGTACCGCGATATGTCAATTTTATTTCCGAATTTTGAAGCATAGGTAAATGTGCAGCATAAATTTCAGGAGAAAAATGGCAGTTTGCCATTTATTGTATCTTGCGAATTGATTTTCTGTTTCGTTTCAAAGAACTTGAAGGCCCTAATATTAAGCTAAAAAATTGAGGTATTCTTTTGCATCTTGTGTTAATCAAATTTTAATGCATATCTTGCCATTGAATTCCAAATTTTTTCTAAATCACTTCGAAGAACTTATTACTGTGGCCTTACTCATCTTTCGTCCTTTTTATTACGAAATTTTATCTGGAATTTTTTAAGATGCTTCTTTTTTCATTTTGTATTGACTGACTAACAATATTTTACGATATGCTGTTTATACTGTCTGTTCAAAAACAATGTGAAACTTTTTGGAATTTTTATTCTCTGAATTTTTCTAATTTACTCTGGCTTGCTTAATTTGTGAAGTTATTTTTTTAATGAATTTACTTTTTTTTGTATTTTTGAATCATACATATTCTAATTTATTACCTAGTATATTGTAAGTAAGCAATCGTAATTATTTGACCATGCTTTAAAAATATTTCACCTGCTTTACTTATAGTTTTAAGCAGGATACTGTTTAAATTATATTTTTAATTAAGGAATATAGGAAATGTAATCATATTTTCATTAATAATTAGCATTATTTTATATGTATGGTCAATCAATGAGCATCGTTATCGAAAGTGGTGTGTTCTAGCGTTAAATTTAATATTGAGAACATTTTCTACTTCTGAGATCGTAGCTATGTTATTGTACCTACTTCCGTGTTTTGCTTTTAACTCATTTTGCCTATTCAAATACTGAATTTTCCATGATTTCTGATACTCAAATGTGACATATTTCATTTAAAATTCGTTCTGTAGTGGAGAGAAATGGTTGCGAACAATGGAATTCTTTCTCTTCGCTCAGGATTTTGAGCACTATCTTGTTCATCATTACTCATTAATTGTTTCTTATGTATATAAAAATACTAATTTTGATATGTTGAGCAGGTCTTGTACTGACTTTTCTTATGTTTTTATTTTTTTTCATTTCGCAACTTTCAGTAAAAAAAAAAATTTTTTCCTTTGTTGTGTTTAATAATACAGAGCGTTTAACTTTATTTTAAATTTTAATGTTTTAATAGGTCTTTTAAAAGTTATAAAATTGGGACAAACAAATCGATATAATTTTTGTGCACCAAATTTAGAAAAGAAAATGCAAACTAAAGATCAAAAGGGAAGCCTTGTATGAGACGGAATTGGAAGAAAAAGTTAAGTTTTACATGGATTCTGTGAAATTTATCGAGATGATTTCTGGGTTTCAATGATTCGTCTTCAAATTTTCATTTCTATAATAAATGAAATAACGCACTGCACTTCAATAACAATAAATTAATTTATCATATAAATGTAAAATATTAGTTTTGATTAACAATAATTATGAAAATCTCCATTTGCACAACCTGCCAAGTAAGATGTAATGGGGATAATTATCACTAAACAAAATTAGTCCACCACTATTACTATCATGCCATCGCTGTCCTTAATGTGAGAAATAAAAATTCGTTGTATGAAGCGAAACAAGAAACCGGTTATATTCGGAATGAAAAAAAAGAAACTTGTTCTGAATCACACCCACACACCCACACATACATACATCATTTATACTCTCAAATATTAATTTAATTTAAATCCCTGTAGGTTTTCCTATATTCTTTTCAACACTTTTATTTCTAAAACTTCAACTTATTCATTGCTGAATATCAGTATTTATTGTTATTTCAGTATTGCTTAAGCTATCAAAAAGTTATCATTCATCATTAGCTATTTCATTGATCAAAAAAGTTCGCTTGAGAAAAGGAATTTAATTCAGATGGCTTTTTAGATTTTGCTAAATTTTCATGTCTGTCGAAACTGAATTTATTGATTCAACATCTGGAAATAATAATTGTCGTGAGTTTTTTTTCTAGTTTTTCATTTCTCTATATTGATAATTTGCTTATCATGTTTTGGTATTAAAGGGATGCTTACTTGTTGAATTGAATGTCTCCAAATTATCTCCAATTGTGCTAATTTAAAAATCTCTCCTAATGGAATACTTCATTTGCAAAAAATTTTTGAAAAATTATTGATGATTGACGACTAATTTACAGATAATAAAAATGATTTTACATAATTATAAACTTTAAGCTACTCATAGTAATCGTACTTAACTTCATTGACCTATCATTTTCAGGTGTCTTGGTGACCGGTGCATCCGGTTATCTTGCTATACATTGCGTCCAACAACTGTTACAACAGGGTTATAAAGTACGTGGAACAGTTCGTGACTTGAATTGTCTTGAAAAAATTAATCCGTTGCGGCAGTTGGCAAATAGCAATCGATTGGAACTTTTTCGTGTTGCTCTTGAGGATGGTGCAGAATTATGGGAAAAGTAAGCTATGAAAAAAATGCATTTGTCCTTTTGACAACAACTAATTGAACATTATTCAGAATCAAATTTAATTAGGATTTGATTTTCGATGCAAAATTATATTATATTACTTAATCATCCTGAAAATTATATATTACACTTTTATCATTTTTAAAAATGAATTAACTTATTTGAAAAAATTGATTTATTTTAACTATATGGTAGTGATAAATGATAAGATTTGCAATTGTTTCAGAGCAATAACGGATTGTACGTACGTGTTGCACGTAGCAAGTCCATGTGACATAATAGCGGATGATAAGATAGTCGAGATAGCAGTTTGTGGTACTTTAAATGTCCTTCGTGGTTCCTCAAAAAGACAATGCGTACGAAAAATTGTACTTACGAGTTCATCTGGCGCTATTAATTTTAAGTTTATTTTGACAATTTTTAAAGTTAATGCAACTTTTTGGTTATTACATTTTACACATCCCATTCATCGTGACATTATTATGCACATCTGTTATTTCGCATTTAATTCATCAAGCAGTTATTAAGTAAGCTAATGGTAGCGATTGCATGATGATAATAATCAATTTTCGAAAATTTATTATAAAATTTTTATACCTGACATGAAGTTATTCCAAATTCTATGCTGCCTTATGGTTAACTTTTTGAATGACCTTTAATGATGTGCATTAGCACTTTAGTGGGACATAAAAATCGAACGAAACTTTTCACTGAGAATGATTGGACGAATTTGAACTGGAAACACTTGCATGCATACCACAGAAGCAAAATTTTGGCTGAACAAGCGGCTTGGGATTTTATGAAAAAAAATCCAGGTTTGTATTCGGCACATCAAATTTCAAATTAAAATTAAAATTCGGGTTGAAATTAAAGAACAAAAAAAAACTACTAGTTGTGTAGGATTACTTCATGAGAGAATACTTTTAATTCAAATTCAATTTAAATTTGATATACAAGATGTCATATTTGCACACTTCCTTGAGAAATATCAAAAAATTTCAAACTTTAGTCAAACTTTAATTTCAATCAATCCTATTCTGAATTTTTTCAGTCTTCTTGCTCCCTTTTTTCATTATTCAAATTTTTAAACCAAATAGACATTTTGAAATTCATTACAGATGTATCATTTTCATTGACAGTTTTAAATCCCTGCATGATTATTGGACCATCGTTGCAGAATGCTAAGGGATCAAGTGTTACGGTAGGTTAAATATTTATAGTGTAAATGCGACATTAAGTGGTAAAGCTTTATCTCATTACTTTGTATACATTATATGCTAATTAGTGAATTGTCTAAGTTATATTGGCCTGTATTTGATCAGGATCAGTGCATTGCTCATTATAGATTATCAGTCGTTTCATGGATGGTTCAATGCCAGCTTATCCAGCAATGAAACTTAGTTTCGTCGATGTTCGTGATGTTGCTCAAGCGCATATTTTAGCAATGAAAGAAGCAAAAAGTGATGGGCAAAGGATTCTTATTAGCGCTGAAACGTTATCATTCCAACAAATTGCTAATATTTTACGAGAAGAATTTGGCAAACAAGGTGAAATTTTTTGTTTAGAATAATAAAAATATCAATGGTAAATATTGAATTTTTGTAAGACATTCTAAAAAAACCCGGCAATTTATTTAGTATTTTTTTAAATTAATTATTAACAACATTATTAGGCGTGTAAAAGTATGTGAACTTATATGTTATCATTTGATTTTTAATTTAATTCATCTTTTACTCAGTTACAATAAAATTATATCCACCGATATTTCAAATCACATCCAAATACAAGAGATGGATAAATCAAATGGATAAGCTGAAAATTCTACTCATAATGATTAGAAGCTTACTTCAGGCTATCGTATTCCGCGATTTAAAGCTCCATATATAGCTTTATGGCTTTATTCATTAACTGATAAAGCAGCGTCACAAGCTTTACCGTTATATGGACATGAGGATAAATTAGACAACTCTAAAATAAGTTTTCTTTTTTTTATTAAAAAAATTTTTTGATATTTGCATATTGATATACTTAAATTACTTTATTTTAGTTACTTTATTTTTCAGAAATACATCTTAAGATAGGAAATAGTAGGAAATCTGTTTTTATTATAAATTAAACTAAAATCTGTATCAGTTGGATTGTGGACTTTCTTCTATATCTGTAAATTTCAGGCATCTCAACTTCTGGGTATGTCATACCAAGATGTGAGGAAATCATTGATAGAAATGGTTTATGATATGATTGAACGGAATATTTTACCAAAAACTAATGTGGAGAAGAAAAAATAACTGATTCAATTAGGAAGAAAATTAAATTTCATACAATTTCGATTGTACAGCTATTTTCAGGAAGAAAATGTTATTTTTATTGATACTTTTTACTTTTCTCCATTGGGACTTTTTAATTACGTAGAGATTTTGTGTTTGAAATGAAATACATAGCATAAGAACGAAATACTTTATATCACATTAATTTAATTCCAAAAAAGTTTCTTTTAAAATTTTTGTTGCACATAGATGAAATATTGCTCTTTAATCTGAAAATTGCAAACATAAATAATTTCCTAATGAGCAATTGTATAATGTATCGGAAGATCCAAATATTCATTCGTCGAATTTCAATTCCAAAATGAGATTGTTATAAATTTTGAGAAAAAGAGATAAAATTTAAATAAGTTAATAATTAACAAATCAGTCAAAATGTAAAAGAGAAAAATAAAACGGGGAAATATCAATGAATATGGAAAAATATCGTTCAATTACATTTTTTTCAATGTATACTTATTCATTTTCAAAAATAATTAATTTGAATTAATCATTATGGAAACAATAAATGGGCTCATAAAAATCTCAAAACTTTTGATTTAATTTTCTCTAACTGTCCATATTAAAGTCAAAAAAAGAGTAAATCCTTTCTATTACAGTCATCGCAGTGATTACAAAACCGTAAAGTTTTATCTTTCGTCATTCAAACCAAAATTCATAATCGTATATATTCTAATTAATAGAAAAAAATCTTGAAAGTATTACAAATAGAAAAGCGTGTAAGATTAGAGTTCGTAGAATATGCTAATGTGATATATCTTCAGTATATGATAGTCCAAAAGCTATATAACTTCATCAAAGTAAAAAAAACTCGAGATAATAAATATCTTCAATACTCAGAACTATTTTATAATTTGTAAGATTAATTTTATATTCATTTTTCGAAAGTTTTCTAACCTAATGATGTGATTTCTTGAACTACACAATGCAATACCTCGATGAATGACGAAATTCACTAATCAGAAATATTTTATACTTTTTAAATCATTGTTTCCTTTAACCTTAAACGGACAATAGTTGGTCATTAGTTGTAAATTGAATTTAGAAGCAAATCCCAATTTTATTTATTCGGACATGGTATTTAACTATTTGTCTTTAAAATTTTACACACCAAATTGATTAAATTAAATCCATAAAACTATTTTTCCCACTGATAAACTTTGTCAAAGAAAGCAAAACTCAAGAAGTGATAATAAAATTTTGTTCTTTAACATCCATAAGTAGCACTTCTTACATGTTTTTATCACTGCTGAATGCAATGGATAACAATTTTCCGATCATTTTTAAGATTTGAGAGCAAAATCAGAGCATAGCTGAAGGGCGCATGACCCAGTGACCTCAATTTATTTGCAAACTAAAATCACAGGTTTCATCCAATTCAAACTACCACGAAAAATCAATTCGGCGAACTTTTAAACTACACAAGTAGTTATTTAAAAATGTAAATGAGATGTAATCAGAAATGTGTCAGGAGACATCATCAATCTTGCATTTGTGAAAATTGAAGTTTTCTACAATTTTATAGATCACATAATTAAACCGTGTGAATGATGCGACGAACTGATTTGCATTTATTGAAAAGAGGAAAAAAAATAAACAAAAAACTAAATGATGATGTTTTGCTTCTGAGCAGAAATTCTTGAAAGCAAATAAAGCTAAGTCGGAAATTTTTATTTTTCTTAAAGCATTTCATTCATTCTTGTCCGTCTTTCATTGCTTTTTACAAACAGGGATATATGCATTCAATGATTCCTCATCTTATAAAATTAACCAATTTATTCGAATTTTCCACTTAACAATATCATATTTCTGAACATTTGTCTATCAGTTAAGTTTTATGAATGGATATTAGCAATATTTGGTTCTGATTTAACAAATGAATTACGGATTAGCAGAGAATAGTAATATCGAATTTTTGTTTCAAACTATTTGTTTATTATTAAAGGGATACATTAGGCATCTTATAAAATATCGATACAAAAAAACGTCAATGTTTTTAAATTCGAAAACACATATAAGCATGACAGTGAAATTGTTAATTTTGATTACAATTAGAAATGATCAAAAAATTTTTGATTAGAATGAATAGAATAGCTTTACCAATATTTGCAGATCGAATGATTCAATGAGGAAATGAATTTGAAGGAAAAGAAATAATTTACGGCAAAGAAAAGGCAAATTGATTGAATGATGGAAATGTTGGAAATTGCGAAGATTGTGGGAGTGCAGATTGTTGAACCAATTCCGTTTGTTGTGATTGAATGTGTTGCTGTTGAGAATATGATTTTTCTGATGGAAGGAATAATCGCGTTCCTAATTGTTGCGGCGTTATGAAAGCATGCTGCGGTACTTGTTGAGTTTGCTGTCCCGTCATAGCAAATTGTCCAGGTTGAATAGGTAAAGTATCCAGGTTTTGATTGGTACTGAATGGTACTATCGATTGATATTGATTTGCAGATATGTAATTTTTAATTGGTGAAATGGAATAATGCCGTAAGAAAACTTGAGAAGCCTCTGGAGATAATTGCGCATTAGTCGGTTGGATTAGTTGTGAATTTAGCCGTGTGGTATCTAAATGAAATTATGATTTAATCGCAATTGCTGCTCTTCAACATGGAATTGATAATTTATATTCAATTTTTTGCAAAAAGTATTCGAATAAAAATTAGTTTTAATTAGAAAATAATACCCGCAAACAATTTTTGTGAGGAAGCTTGTTTCATAAAATTAGATGATGGGATTCTTTTATCACCAAGCTGCAATAAAGTAATGACTTTCTCTCTCAAAATTCAATCTGCTCCAGTTAACTTAAAAAATTTGAAAGTAATATGTATTTAAATTCTAAAATTGGGTGAAAAAACCTAATCTTAAAAATGACTAAAATCCACTTTTCCATGTGAAACATTATCAATTTGGTTGCTGCATAACCTGTAACGGAGATTGTTCAAAATTTATTTGTTTTTGATTATTCGATTCATAATTTGTTGCCATTCGATCCAAAATATATGGAAGTGTATCGTCTTCCACTAAAAATTATGCCACATTTGAAAAATGATTTTATCCTACTGTCTAAAACAACGGCCCACATTCACCAATCAGTTCCTTAATGGTCATTTCAGTTAAACGAATTATTAAAAATTATTATATGATTATATGATTTAATATTGATAAAGATTCGAGGTATGAAACCTGGATTAGATCAATTTCAGAATTTTACTCAGATCGACTTCAGATTATACTCAGATCAGATGAGTTTCAAAGCCTTTCTTATAGCTAAATGAGAAAGAAATAAGATTGAAATAGAATGGGAACAAGCGAACAGGCAAGTTAGGATAGCTTCACTTACCATAAAGATCGGATTTTGTCAGATATGGAAGGCACGAAAATCGCCGGACTGTTACGCTGTATGCTACACTGTAATATATTTTTTTCAACAATTTATTTCTATTAATTAATTACTTCACTCGGCTTCATTTATTTTAGCTATTTGTCAATTTTTCGATCAGTTAATAGCAGTTAGATTTCATTAATTTTTGCTCTTATGTGATATACAACCATATGGAAAATTTTGCATTTAATATTGAATTATAATTTAAAAGAAATCAATCATATACGATTTTCGGAGAATGACTGGTATTTTATTATTAATTTCCTTACCTTCCATTCTCCTTAAAATATTTTTTAATGTTGGCAATGTAATCGAAAGCGTATTGCCGTTCACTTTGTATTACCTCACCACCAACAACAATTTGTCCCGGACTTACGTCAGCAATTCCGCGATCCCAAGAATTTTTTAAGTTATCAAATGTGCAGCATTGCAAGAAAAGCCTAAAATTAAATTGAATTTATTGTTTCATTCAGTGAATTTTATTAAATTCATAAAATTCTCTGACATTTCAATATTATGATATTAAGTATATTAACTTCACAAGTTGAATAATATTTACTTTTTTCGTATTAATGTATAATATTTCATTAGTGCATTATATAATCTATTTTATCCTATTATTTTAATTCAAAATTTTAAACAGATTTTTAATTGTTGATTAAGTTCAAAGAAAAAAAAATTTACGGTTGTGCAGTAATATTGGATGAGGGCGATAAACCTCCAACCCATTGTGTGTTCTCATCGCATGATAAACTGGCATAATTTTTTTCGCAAAACTAAAATAGAACTCTTGAAACTTTCACGGTTAAAAAATGCCTTTTAAAATCAAATTATGCTTTGGGTATAAATGATTGTTGCAAATTTGTTTGCCTAATTTCTGCTACAATTTTTAAAGTTCCAAAATTTTTGAACAAAAATACTTCATTCCTTTATATATCATCACATTGTGTTTATTTATTTTTATCACATATTCATTCCTTCTCCTTTTTAAAATTAGCCAAAAAAATTGGATTTTAATTTGATTTTAAAGCTTCAAATATCATGCGATGCAATTTTTCTATGCAACATGGATGATTGCAAATATTTTGAATTAAACAATAAAACTAACAGCCAGCTGTGATTTTCGTGCCACAATTTTTGCTTTATCATATTTCTTGAGATCACTATCACGCATAAATCCATCATTCTTCTTATGGATCCTGCAAATTTAATTGAATAATTTCAATAATATTCAGCAAATTATTCTAATAAAATTTCTTGAAAATAAGAGAAAAAATCAGAACAAATTTTTCAAAGACAAAAAAAGCTGAATTTAAAAATTTTCAGAATCAATAACCGACCGATAAAATCGAGCACCTTTATCAGTCTTGACACCCCAACCGAAACATGATGGTCGGGCACAACCAAGCACCGGTTGACCACTTTTCAATGCCTGCAATATAAATTAAAAAACTGATAGATTTCTTCTCAATTTAAGAGAACGTATTTCCTTGATAGTAAGTAATTCATTAATAATCAGCAATATATTTATTTAATACAATTAAAATTTGTACCGCTGAGAATTAAAATAACTGAATCATAGAAACAATTATAAAATCGATCTTCTTTGATATAAATGATATAAATGATAATTCTGAACTGTTAATTTAAAGCTTAAAATTCCTGTTAAAAAATGACATACTTGTAAACTGAATGGAATTGCATCTTCACCACAATATGAAGCAAAGATGTATGCACACTGTATTGTGATAAACGAAAAGAGTAATGCTAAAAATGGCATATCGGCTTGAATTCAAATTCGATCAATGAATTATTCGTTTTGATAGAGAAATGAGAAAAGATGGAGGAGATTGGTTGACAGATTTCATTAAATTTTGGTAGATTAGGTCAACCTATCTTTTAAATGACCGATTTTTATCTGAAATTGATCCGTCCTCACAAAATTCAGCGAAATTTATATAGGCACATACGATTGTGCAGTATCATGAAAAATGATCATAGTTACTGGTCTATTCATCGATCACAAAAAAATGTTCTTTTTATCTTAATTTCTTTCCACCATTTTCCAAGGACTGAAAGTAAACTGAAACTTATACTCGAAGAATATATGCAAAAAAATTTAACAAATCCAACAAATAAAAATATGTGCAAAAAAAAATAAAAAAAATGATGTAAAAAAAAATCTAACAAATCAGAAGAATGATTAAATTGACGAAATTTAAATTAAAATTATACTTTGACATACTCTGATAAGTTATCTTCAATTTATTCTAATTAAAAATAAGGAAGATAAATGCATCTGAAATTTCATTTACTTATTGTTTTAACTTTATTTGTTGGTGGAAGGTCGTAATCAAATCACTTCCTTACATTTGCTAAAATTTCAATAAAATACTGAGAGTATAAATATCTCGGAGAAGTGTTACAATCAGAAAGCTGTTTAGCACTATATTCAACGATATATTTGGGGATATACTCTGGCAACAAGAACTGGCAAGCAATAAATTAAATGCGTTTCCATCGAGAGAATGGTACCTGTTCCTTTGTCTTCAATTTTAAAATTACATTCATAATTTGCAAATTTATTTTATGCTATTTCTATGAATTCCAATAAATTGAAACAACTTTCTAGTAATTACAGAAAAGAAACATGTGCATGAATTTCCTGAAATTTCCCTTTTCCTAATTCTACAAAAATTTCCGGTTGAAATATGATAGTCCAATTTTTGATGTTAATTTGAATTAAATTTTACTATTAAAGAATTGATTAAATGGATGAAATTTAAACTAAAATTATACTTCAATATACTCTAATAAGGTATTCTTTTATACTTCAATATACTCTAATAAATTATTCTAATTTGAAAATGAAGAAGTATTGATGAATATTTAATATACTCAATTAACTTTTTTAAGGAAATGATAAACTGGTCAACTTAGCGGAGCTAAGTGAGGAAGAAGTTTCAACGCCTGAAGATAGAGAGGAAGTGGAAGTAGCTGAAGAAATAGAAGCGATGTCACATTCGGGAAAATCCGAAAAACTGGAAATGGACGAATTTAAAAGTGCTAAGAGTGATATCAGTGATAGCGACACAGCTGGACCACATACATCCGATAAGCAACATAATGATGAGGAGAATTTCAAACAAAATGAAGAGAATTTCAAAGAGATTGATGTTAGCACAAAAGTTTGGTAATATTTAAAGAAACAGCTAACAGCTTTGGATAATACTTTCTACATAGTTAATAAGGCTTATACTGGAGTGTTAAAAATTTTAACTTCAATGTAAAGTAAAAAGTAAAAAGCAAATTTCCAAATCTCTGATTTTAAATCAACTTTTTAAAAGATTTAAATAGGTCGAGATTATTATAAAACAAAAACTTTTACTAAAATATCAACAAATATGCTTCCCACTTTATGTCATTTATGGATGTTTGGAATGAATATTTAAAATTTGTTCCCGAAATATCATAAAAATTATTAGTGATTAAGTAAATACCGGATCCGTAAAACACCTTCAGAGCATAATTTATTATCTGAATCATCCAATGCTCAAATAACAAACAAGTTAAACTGAATGTTTCAGATACAAATGGGTAAACGATTGGCGGATGATATAATCGATGCATATTGTGATAAATTACAAGAAAGTGTTGACAAAGAAGTTGACGGAATGCTTGCTATGCAATATATTTTAGTCAGTTTAATTTAATTAGAATGAATCAGATGACAATACTTGAAAACCCATTTCATTCATTTAGCTTTTTATTATCAGATAACATTAAAGTCTTACCATTAAACAATAAGTTGAGATCAACATTTGAAATAAAATTCATTGAAATTTAGATAATATGAATTATCTAATCTAAAATTATAAACTAAGATGCATTTTAAAGAATGAAGTAATTTACAGTAATATATTTATGCGAAGAAATTACTAAAATGAGCAAGAATTTACAGTAATATTAGCTAACAATTTTGTAGTAGTTTGAATTATTAGATATCCATTTCATGTAGCTATAATAAGTAAATCATTTCTATCATACTTTTCTAATCAGATGATCCCAGATGTTCCCACATATTCACCATTTTAATTGAATTAAAATAGAACTTTGTTCGATGAATAATTTATTGCCAGCTATATCAATATTTTATTATAAAAGAAAAAATATTTTCTTCCAGTTGGAGCCAAATTCAATAAAAAATTTAATAAAAGGTGATAAAAATATATGCCAAGTAATATACGATCATTGTCGTGCACATTATTTGGTGCTATTTCGAAATAAACTCAATCCAAAACGTATCATTGTTTATGATCCTATTGTACCGCAAGAAGACTCCGTTATTGAAACAGTTTATTTCATTTTTTCCGAATTTATTTTATTTCTTCTTTTAAATAAAAACAAATTGAAAATTTATAGTGAACCTATAAATGCATTCTTTTAATAAATTTCAAAAAAAAATCTGTAAAATAAAAAATTTCGATTTTGAATAATATTCGTGCCGAACGAAGTAAATCTTTTAACTTATCAATAAGGAAGTTCTAATCTTTAAGCTCAATGATAGTGTTCGTGAACAAATTCTGGCCATATTTGGACATCTGTATCAGGACGATGAAATAGTTGAAATTGCAGTCGAGACTGGTTTAAGCACACAAAATGATTGTTGGTCTTGTGGCCTACGATCAGTTGCATTCACTACACATCTCTTACTTGGCATCAATCCTGTTAAGTTAGTTTCAGCAAATATTGGTTTATTAATTTTTTTTTAATCTAAAATCTTTTTTTTTTTGCAGGAGGAATAGTTTTGGTGATTTTTTTTTTTAGTAGAAGAATAGTCTGAATCATTACTGAGCTTGTTATTGTTTCAGTGTAACATTTATATTATATTTCATTGGACAAAAAAATTTTGTAGAAATTCAAAGAATGATTAAAAAGTCTGTAATCATTATTTGCAATTGTGAATTTTATTATTTTGTGTTAAAAAAATTTTAGTGTAAAAACATTTTAGTTATGAATATGATTTGGAAAAAGTAGGAAAATTCACAATGGAAATTATTAAAATGGATAGACCTGATCGTAAAGTAATTGCTAGCGGAGAAATTGGACAGTAAGGCTATTGTTTCTATGTTTATTATAACTATTGTGAATAATAGGATAGAGACAAATTTCTAATCAGCAACTATAAAATTGTTTTCAAATTGTTAATTCATCATTTCGTTAATTTTCTATCTAATCTATTATTAATCGTCAATCATTTCAATTTGCTTAAACAATTCAATTTCCAATATTTTCTGTCAAGTAAACATTATACTAGCATGTTTACATAGTTAAATTTCATTAAGATGATGGCAAAATTTTAGGAATAAAATTGATAAATTTGATCGAATTTTAATCAAAATGATAAGTTATTGTATGAGACGTGTAGGTTAAATTAATGATATTTGCAGAGAAAGAAAAGAAAATAAATCATGTTTAACAATTGTACGTGTAACAAAAGGTGACAAATTTGCAATAGAAAATGGGACGGCATGTGTTATCAATAATCAATCTTCAGTGGAATCGTTATTAGATAATGAAAACGAAGTAAATATAAGCGAAGAAAAATTATCGGAATTAGCATGCGGAAATGATGATAGGAACAATGATAATAATAATAATGACCGAAAAGATGGTCGTATTTGAAGCATTTGAAAAAATTACAACTGAAAATAAATTAACTTTTAATTTTTTAAATTTGAAATAATTGCACTTGTTCTATCTGTAATACATTATTTTAAAGACAAAATATATAGCGGAAAGATTTATGAACTGATTTCTTGATTTGAAGTATCACAACTGGAAATTATTTAAACAAATGATAGAGATAAAAATTAATAAACAACTTTTCGCAATTTGCATGTTTTGAGATACAGTTATATGAAAATATTAAAAGCGTATTGATAATTAATTTGGCATTAAAATTTTTTTTTATTCTACCATTTTTGTGGCTAATTTGAAAATGAATAAAGAGTGAAATCAATTTAGAATAATTTATTGTGCCTTAAAAGATAATTCAATTGAAGATATTTCTTGTCTTCTAAATTTAATGTTGTTATTTATTTATTTTTTAGATTGCTTCGAACTTTTCCCCTACTGAGCGCTCGTGTGCAATTGCGCAACTAGATGTTTCAGACTAAATTCTGAGATTAATTTAAAACAGTGCTATATGTTTTAAAAAATATTGAAAAGTTTTGAAAAGTTTATGATAGCATTTTAAGACCAAATAAGGAAGCGTAATAATGAATGATTTTGCCTACACTCTTTTTTTCGCTGCAATTGTCGTTATGTTCAATTTTAATTCGATTTTAAATACTTTTCTAAAATAGCATAATAAGTCTCTTTTTGAATCTTAAGATGAATTGTAGAGGATAATTCAGCCTATTTCTAGTATAACTTATTTCGAATAATTTAAATATATTTGTTTTCAATAATTTGATTTTAGTTACAATTTTTTGACTATCTTGAAAAAAATCATCCAACTATTCAAAATTATCCCAACCTTTTTTATTTAATTTTTGCAACTTTTGTAACTATTTCAAATATTGGAAACTAAAATGTCACTGATTTTGAGTAACTAATGATTCTCAACATCTTTAGTATCGGCAAACAAATGGAAGAGAAAATGATCGATCTTACTCAATATTACCTTTTGATTCGCTATCATTTTCTTTTTAGATCATTCATCACAAAATACAATTTTTCATAAAACACTCTACTAGAAATTATTCATTAAAAAAAGTTTCTGGAAAAAAAAACGAAACTTCTCAGTTTAATAAGAACGATTGCACATTGTTGCTAGACATTAAGAAAATTGAATTAAATTGAGTTAAATGGTAAGATGAATGTACTATATTTGTCTTTTTTTCAACAAAATTGCTTACATAATATGAAATAAAAGCTTTGCTAAATGAAGCATAATATTTCCGTTGCACCAAAAATATTGACAGGACAAAAAATAATTTTGATCATTGATAGTTTGTTTTCCCTGACTTCACATAAAAAATGCTTGTTCAATTTTAAAATAGTTTCACTTATAAATATAATATTTTGAATATTAATTTAGTATTTTATAATCAGTGATTTTTTTATTTTTTAAATCAAATTGCTTCATACTAAAATGATGTTTTGAAAAGATAATGGATAATTTATGACTGAATTCCTTTCATGAATCAGAATAGCATTTCCGTTTCGCTGAAGTCACATGCTAGCATGCAGCTTGCAAATGCAATTTGCAGCAAACACTCAATAATATGATGCACCATTATAGTCAAACATATCATACTACTCGAATATTTCGATAAATTTAATTGCAAGCAAATCAAATGCGAAAACATTTCTGTAACGCAAATTTGCGCAATTCAATTGATTATCTAAAATTAACTCTAAAGAATTTGCAACATTTAATGGTTTAAAAGAGTTTACAAAGTTCGATCTTTAATTATTTGTCATTTTTCAGATTATGTTTGGATCACATAGCTGTATTATATTGGATTGATGTTGCTAATTTTATAATTAAAAATTGATGTAAAATATTGCTGTAAAACAGTTTTGAAGATAATGGCAATTTTTTTATCTTAAATAAAAATTTTTTTCTCATGCTTTTAAATCTTTACATTGTGAATTAATAAGTTTAGTTCTATGATTTTCTTAATTAAATCAAATTATCAAACAAAACAGTGATATTAAACTAGGCCTAAGAGATATGAAATTTGCTTCTATTATTTAACCATACCTGATGCTTAGCAATCATGTAAATGCAAAATGATACAGGTTTCATTAAAGAATAATTTAAATCAAATAAAAATTTTAAATGAATTAATAGAACTGATTTTTTCTGAATAAATAACAATAATTAAATGAAGAGTTGCATTTTATTATCTATTTTTTATCTGTTAAGGAGTGGTTGTACTCCTTTATAAATGCCAAAAAAGGAAGAAGAAGAGGTATCACTTCTTTGATTGCTTCACATTTTTTGAACATTAATTCTATAATGAAATCTCCTTGAGATATTCTGCTATCTGAATTATCTAACTGAAATAATCTTTTTTCTTCTTTTTGTTAAATTATAAATATCAAATAATAATTCAATCAAATATTAAAAGAATAGATCTGAAATTTAAGAATTCTGAATGCTCATTTAATCTCAGTTATTGGGATTCTCAAACTGAATTTGTGCGCTTAAAAAAATTCATTGATAAGTAAATAAAATTTAATGTTTTAAGAGTTTGTTTCGTTTTTTTTTGTGCAAATAAATTAGATATTTCAATCGTGTGTTTATCATAGGGTGAGGATTCTGTATCAATAACTGATGATGTAAAAGGGGCTGATTATTATCACGGATTGATACCGCGTACCGATATCGAACCGTTGCTGAAAAAAGAAGGCGACTTTTTGTTGCGTAAAACTGAACTCACTCCTGGTATTGATCTTATCTCCATTTAACGTAAAATCACATACATGATGCACATATATTAATATATTTTATGTCACAGTAAACATTTATTCTTTAATGAATGGAATTAAAAAAGAAATACTTCGTAATATACTTCCTTCTTTCCCTTTAGTTTTGTGAAAAAAAAACAGCTAAATTAAACAATTCTCAACTTTTACTGATAAATTCAATTTTTTATGTTTGGTAAAAGCAGATGAATAATAGCGGAGAAATTAATTGATGCTGATATAAGTCAGTTTTGAGCATTTTATGTTGTCATTTTGAGATTAACTAGCCGTAAAATTTTGAAAGCAAATACTGGATAGATGCTTGTGAAATGTACAGGAGAGATAGTGCTTGCAATCTCGGTACGACACAACAATGCCGTACGACATTTCATGGTAAATCAGGATCAAGATGGTTCCTTTTATTGCGAACATCATCACGAGAAGAGCGTATCCGATTTAATTCAATACTACAAAGCAACGAAAGAACCACTATCTGCTTCCAGTCAAGCACGCCTTCGTCGACCAATCGAAAGACCTCAATGGCTTCTAAATCATGATTCCATCAGACTTGTCAAAAAGCTCGGTGAAGGTGCATTTGGTGAGGTGAATTGAGCTTTTTCGTTCAATATTATGATGGCAATTAAGATTAGTAATATCAATGTAAATAATGCCTTCAAAAAGCTTTAAGGTATTCCTTGCGGAATATTCATTTGGAACAGAAAAGCAAGAAGTAGCAGTAAAAACGATGCGTCAGGAAGCAACACGTGAAGCTCGATTAAAATTTATGAAGGAAGCAAGACTGATGCGTCGTTACGAGCATAAACACGTTGTACGTATTCTTGGAGTTGCCGTACACGAACATCCATTAATGATCATTATGGAGAATTGTCCTGGTTCGTTTTTCTTACGCATCTGTAAGATAATTCACAAACTTCACAACTGATTGTTATTCAATAATGCTTGCATATATGTTAAGTTTATTCTTAATTATTGTGTTTTATATATTGTTAAGTTTATTTTATTGATTGACAAAGTATCATATTATTGATGAAATCAATAGTATATTTATTAGTATCAAAAGTAAAGCACAGCAATTAAAATATTTAATAATACCTTAAAAAGTATGTTTTAGGTGGGTCGTTATTATCATATCTACGGAAAGAGAAGGGAAAAATAACTCCGATTACAAAGTTACGTTTCATCACGGAAGCAGCAGATGGGATGGCTTATTTACATAAGCAAAAATGTATCCATCGAGATATTGCTGCACGTAATGTTTTATTGAGCGCCAAACTTGACGTGAAAATTAGCGATTTTGGCATGTCTGATGATCGACTTATCGTACAAGATGATAAGTTAGAAAAGGTAATAAGTGAAAACTACTTTCGTTTTATTTTCTTCATGATGTTGCGTTGATTGCCTGCATCGATGTCAATGAATGTTAAAAAAAAGCTTTCAAATAAGATTTGCGAATAGGAAGTAATATTAAATAAACTTTACATGTGATAAGTGTAAAAATAACTTTAAAAAAATAAAAATAATTGAACAACAAAACAATGAAATAAATGTGAGCAATTGAAATGAAATAATTCAATAGAGCTAAGTAAATATGTAAAATGCCGCATAAACAATTTAAGCAATAAATTTAATTTTTACTCAAAATTTTCATCTTTTTAAAGCATATTCAGAAATCAGGTTTTGTACTCATGCAGCAGTAACTCACATCGTTTTATTTAGAGAATATAATATTGACATTTATGATATATTGAATCTTAAAATAAGATTTCAACCAAACTAAGAAAACGCAACCGCACTTGTTAGAATATTAATAGCGGATGGATTAGGCGGAATAATTTGACATCTGATATGGTAAAATTCTGTTAATTTGGTTTTATTGTATTATTAGAAAAGGATATATTTGATTTGATAAGAAAAATTGAACTGTTAAAATGAACTTTACAGCTAATGTGTAAGTTTCAAAATTTTTTCATAAAAAAAACGAAAAGAATATGAGGAATAAAATAAACCTGAAATAGGTACCAGTCAAATGGTTAGCACCAGAAACGATGCAACAAAAGGTTTACTCGAATAAAACTGACGTCTGGTCCTACGGTGTGCTCGTTTGGGAAATTTATTCCGATGGTTCGGAGCCTTATCCGGGACTAAGTAACATTCAGACACGTGCAAAAATTGTTGTACAAAAT